GCTGGTGAGGGGTCTGGAGAACAAGTCTTATGAGGAGCGGCTGAGGGAACTGGGGTTGTTTAGCCTGGAGAAAAGGAGGCTCAGGGGAGACCTCATCGCGCTCTACAACTACCTGAAAGGAGGTTGTAGCGAGGTGGGTGTCGGTCTCTTCTCCCAAGTAACAAGCGATAGGATGAGAGGAAATGGCCTCAAGTTGCGCCAGGGGAGGTTTCGATTGGATGTGAGGAAAAATTTATTCACCGAAAGGGTTGTCAAGCATTGGAACAGGCTGCTCAGGGAAGTGGTTGAGTCACCATCCCTGGAAGTATTTAAAAGACGTGTAGATGTGGTGCTTAGGGACATGGTTTAGTGGTGGACTTGGCAGTGCTAGGTTAACAGTTGGACTCGATGATCTTAGAGGTCTTTTCCAACCTAAATGATTCCATGATTCTAATAAGACACAGCAAAGCCAGGCAGCATGAGATTTGTAGTTCAGCTGAGAAGGGGATAGTGTATTTAATGACTAGAGAAATCATTCTCTGCTTTGATTTCTAAGTTGCTGAGTATTAGGAAGCTAGGAAAACAAACATAAATGGGAGAAAATATGAGCGAGGCAGAAGAATACTGACCTGTAAGTTTTAATCTGAAAGTATACATGCTTTAGTAGCAAATCGCAGTATCATGATTATACTCTACCGAAGGAGGTACCTTTCTGAGGCAATTCAGGCCAGAGAAAAAAATGCCTAAGAATTTTTTCTAAATCAGGATGTAAATGTTTGCAAGATCCATGCCTACAAAATCTTTCACTTTATAAAGTACAGATATTCACAACTTTAGTTAAACTGGCATGAGATTTTGGGCGGTATGCTGATAAGTGGCAGACTGATAACATAATCTAATTTCATTTTTGCAAAATTAACAAGTTACCGATTCATCCTAATGAGTAAAACATGGGGAAAACAGTAAAAAATATAGTATGCTTATTCAGAAAATGCATGTTAATTGTATTAACCACTCTTTAGACCTGTCTGTCTTACACATTGTTTAGTAAAGTAATGAAATCATAATCTCTTCAATAGATGTTTGACACTGAGAGGAAACTTAAATCCCAGACAGCATCTTTAGTTGCCTAAACAGTGCAGGAAACATGTTAGTGAAAGGAAACATGGTTTCTTGGGGATGGGGTGGAGGGCGAGGGAAGAACAACCAAACACTAAACCTACATACATTCTTTCTCTTTTTCCATTTCCATTTCTTCCCAGAATGTTATACAGCAAATGGGGCTGACTATCGTGGCACTCAGAACCAGACCTCCCAATATGCAGGGAAACCTTGTCTTTTTTGGAATGAGACCTTTGAGCATCCTTATAATACTTTGAAATATCCCAATGGGGAGGGAGGGCTTGGAGAGCATAACTACTGCAGGTAAGAAATATCTCATTGCTACTAACATTGCCTATATACCCAGTGTTACTTTAAACAGTTGACACAAAATTAGGAAACTTCCTGTCATACAGTGAAGAATGTCAGAACCATGGATATCAGCAGGTTTTGTTTCATCCTGTAATCAGTACCCTGGATCTACAAGCACCATTACTAGCATAACTTTTTTAACCCAGCTCTCACACCCAAAGTCCATATCATATATCCAATCTATAGTTTGGCACGACGGAGAAAGACTAGAGATTACTTAATGAAAAGGTGGAGATAATAAAAAAATTGATCCAGGTCAGAAGTACAGAAGCACTAGTGAATGTCTGTAGGAGTCTCCAGAACATTATGGTTTTTATCCTCACCCACAAGCCTGGTTCTGTTGTACACTATGTTTCCGAGTTTTGTGCTAATGAAAGTTATGTAGTCAGTAAAAGTTCTCAGTGAGCATAAGCTGTTCAGTGACTTAGAGTTGTTATTTGAATTCAGAAGCTCAACTGTCAGTGGTTACAATACCAGCTCAAACCATGGCAGATCCACTTTCATTTCCTTGCCTTCTAGAGAAGTCCTCCATAACTACGGATAGAACTCGGAACGAAACTTAAATAAGAACTTCAGAACTTAGGAGCCAAATAAGAACCTCAGTTCAGAGATGTTTAGGCGCTGCAGGCTCTTTCAGCCTGCAACATTCAACTTCCTGATGTTGTGCATCAGAAAGTTACACGCACTTCTGCCTTTGCAGGACTGACCAGCTAAGTTTTTATGCCCATCTATACTTGCTATGGAAATAAGTGGGGAATAACCCGATAGATACATTCCTTAAACAGTAATAATCATCAGCTCATCTAGGATGCAAAGAAAGTTGAGTGGTGTCTCTTACTCACTGGATAATGGGGACAGGGATGTTTAAACCAAGAGATTAAGAATTGAGTTACCTGGGGCATAGCAAGACAAGCTCTAATGTCTCCTTCATGAGAAAGTTCAAAACACATCTCAATTCTCCTGGAAGATGCCTTTACTTAGCAGGTTATAGGCTTTCTAGGGTAGAGCCTATACACTTGCCACCTTCATGTTGAAATCATTTCACTGTAAGCAATGTAAGTCAGGATAAATGAGGCAAAATTAGTATGCAGGAGTTCAGCACAATTGCTGTGTCACGAACATAGGGTCCTGGTTCTTGATCCAAGAACTTTTTCATCTTAATCAGAAATAGACATTCAAGAAAATATGACGGAGACAGAGCCAGCCAGTTAATGGAGAGTAAGTAAGAAAGTACATAGGTCTTGTGACATGCAGCAGACAGATGAGCACATTGATGAAAGGAGTCAGTCGCATTTCTAGAGTATTTGATGACTCGGGAGGCCATTTCTCATTGAAGAACATTGGTGAAGGACAAGGGAAGAAAAAGCCTTACTCGGGATCTTTTCCAGTGGCTGCAGCACTGCTTCAAAGTAACACTGTTCAATGTGTTGCACCAGTGGACTCTGTTCTCAGCCGTGGAAGGAGAAAGCATTATTGCCAAGTGCTGAATTGACTCTTTTTTGAATCAGTTCAGCATCTTACAGGAGCAAAGAAAAGTACACCATCTACAAGAGAAACTCCATAGAAGTTGGGCATTCTCTTTAGAAAATGGCCTGGAAACCAAATAAACCCATCAAGCTGTCTAGTATCAGATTGGCATGTGAGCACTGGAAGGACTGTCTTCCCATCAAAAACATTGCACACCAACTTCACAGCCTCACTCAGCCGAACACCACCAAATGCATAACAATTCTCATGACATGTAGAGAGCTGTGTCTCTCAGTATGCATACTAATACGGAGCTATAAAAAGGCTAGTGGCCACTGGATTATCTCTGATACAAATAGCAGAATCAAGAACGTAATTTTGATTGTTGCTGTGTGGCAATACGCTAGATAGACCGTATCTACAGGGTCTTACTTTTGGCAGTCATCTCTGGCTAATGCTTACGTTAGTACAAAACAAAACATGTACAAGCTATGCAAAAATTTGCATAACGAACTGAATGTTTATCCAGGTATTCAAGTAATCCTTACTACAGTCTCACTTTACTTAGCAAATGAGAATTTGGTGTTAGAAGGAGCAATATAATCTGGTATATAAGCCTGAGAAATGACTTGATTACCAAATAGAGCTTTTTAACCTCAGTCTGCTGGGTGTTAGGTTATCCTCTTTGAGATGGAGTTTGACTGGAAGGTTAGTCATTTCCTTCCTATATATCACTCGGCCCAGGAATATTCTCACAGGTGTATGGAATGATGATTGTAACTAACGGATGCTTTTTAACTTCACGTTCTGTTGAAAACAAGCCTGGAAAGTCACTGTTTTAAGTGTCAGAGTGTATCTTTAGCATTCAAATCTTGTCGAGGCCTTGTGAGTGAAGATACTGCTGTTTTAGCTCTTTCTCTGCCGTTCATTTGCTTGGTGACAATGGACAAGCTGATCTTCCCTTCTCTGAGGCAACACATATCTCACAAGGCTTTTTTAAGGCATAATACATTGCTTCGAGGCTCAATTTTAGGGACAACATTTGAATAATCTAATTTTACACTTAAAGCATTAATCAGAAGCGTGTTATCTCTCCATGGGTGGTCCACTGCAAGACACCCTGTTAAGATGGAACTGCCTCATAATGTTCACTGAACCTAATTTCAGCCATAACAAAATTATGCAGACTGAAGTTTTTGGAGATTTTGAAAGACACTCAATTGTTTTCTAACTGTACGCACTTTTGAGGTTCAAGGCAAAGATTTCTAAAGACATTAATCACATTTCTCTGCAATTTCCTTGCATTTTAAGGCATTTATATGTGGAGTGCCATTACCATGATTCAATTACAGACATCTGATTTCTGTCATGCAGGTGTAAACTCAAAATTTCCTGTAACTGAAAAAAAGGAAAATTGTGTTATTTCAAGTACAAGTTTTCCTTGATTTTAGTCTTCTACTTTCTTTAGCCACTGGAAGCTCTGCCGTTACACCTAAATTCCTAGCACACTAGTCTTAGGCTTTCCTCGTCCACTACTTTTACTGTTTGAAAGCCTAGCTAGCAGCATTTTAGTCAGTTAAATTGAACTCAACTCACCAATTGTCTTCAGCATTCTGTTATTTGACCAAAAAACATCCCTAGCAGTTCTAAAATTGGATCTCCCACAAAGAGTTGTTAATATGCCCAAATGACAATGTGCAGCTGAACTGACACTTCAGTGTAGGGGCATCTCATTAATAGAATTCATGCCAAAGTACATGATAAAAAGATTGCAGTTGGCCCTAGTTACAAGAAAAGGTCATACTTCAACCTGGCTGTCCAAAATAACAATTTATTCTCTTAAATTGATCTTTTCAATGTGAATAGTTTTTCAAAGTGTACATAGAAAAAACTTTAAATAACCTAATGACTAATTAGGTATGCATTTGTAAATGATGCTATGCAACAGCAAAGAATAATCATGGACACATAAGGAATTATCTCATCCATCAAACTATCAGATCACTGGAACAGATTTATTCAGCTTTACTGAAGGGGAAGAAAAGACCTCAGTCTTTCTCAGAAGACTTTATTGGATAAATGTTTTTGTCATCATACATACAGAAGGTTGGAGTCTGGACTGTTTTGTACCAAGGCAAAAATCAAGTTTAGGAGTCTAAGGAACCTGTACGCAGGATGTGGGGCTGAAAATCTTCCTCTCTCTCAGTATTGTCCAGAAATAGCTCTGCACTTTTTAGACTTAAAGAAGAAAGAAGTTATGTTTTAGACATTACTAGCATTTTATGCTTGCTGTGTACTGTAATAACCAAAGTTATCTGAACTTCCTGACCACTTTAGCATTTTCCTTGGTATGTAAGTCCAATGCGTTAAATATTCAATAGGTATTAGAGCAAAAATAGTGATGACACTGAAGCTTAATAAGATTTATTTTTATGTGGTTTTTGAAAATATTTGATGACTTTTCACTCACTGTCTTTGTTTTTCTCTTTCAGGAACCCTGATGGAGATGTCAGCCCATGGTGCTACATTGCAGAGCATGAGGATGGAATATATTGGAAATACTGTGAGATTCCATCCTGCCGAAGTAAGAGCACCATGCAATTTTTTTTAGGCCTGCATTCCTGTTGAACAGAGATTGGCAGTTATACAACAGTGGGTAGTGATTTTCAAACAGAAACTAGGATAAGGCCAATCAGCTTATTTTCATTTGCAGACTAAACAATATTTTAAATGGGTCTCTAGAGTTAACGACAAGCTTACTGAAGCATTCCTCCATTGCTATCCTTTTCATCTCATCTCAGAATTACTGGATTATATTATTTACAAATAATACCAGACAGAGAATCACTCAAAACTTATGAAGTACTGCTAGTTTTTTGAATCCACAGAAATATGTCATTCATTTATTAAAATCTTGGAGACAAAAATGAATAGGAAATTATTAATTAATTTTTTTACAAGGTACGTATGTGTCCATGATTTGCAATTAGCTTGTAAAATGGATGGCATTAGTTTAATGTGTATAACACATCATACACAGAATTGCTTGGAAGAAATAAAGACAGTGTGAGAGGACATAGGGAAAAGGTAGCTATTTGTTAGGTATGTGGGAGCTCTGGGCTAGAATTCTATTCCTTGCAGGTGCATATACCTGCATTGGTGCACTTCACACCTTCATTGGTGTGAAACCACAAACTGGACTTTGTTCGATTTTTTTTTAACAGATAGTTCACAAGCTATTCACTTGCAGTATTTAATATTTTTAATGTATTATATTATTTACCTTGTCCAAAATGTGGAGATTTGGTCATGATTTGTGTCAATATGTTCCAAAATTTTCATTCCTGAATGCTCCAGGATAAACCTCTAAGAATCACATTCTTTAAAATATGCCTAGGTATTAAAAAGAGATTCCAGTTTTGCATGTTAACAGGCAACCATAACTACACACTTTATGAAGTCTAATCATTAATGCCTTTACTTGCTTTCCTAACTTCTTCTATGCAAGTACTCTATTTCTAAGGGATAACTTATGTGAATACTGTTAAGCATCAGAGCAGTTGTCCTTACGTAGGCATACTTTTGATCAGAAGAAGTGCATTTCTTACTTGAAGTTCAGAAAACAACACCAAACAAAGAAAAATGGATCTAAAGTGATTTTTTACTTTGTCCACAGTTTTCTTTTTTTATGAATGTGAGCGAGTGATTCACATCTTCAAGCTAGGCAAACAAATACGTAAGTGTGACCTTAAGTCGGGTGACTTTTACCTAGATGTAAATACAGATTAAGGAGTCTAATTTAAATAACACAAAATCATTCAACACTGCGATACTCATTGTTCAGAGGACATCTTACTCTTATTTTTCTAATATACGAGGTCCTATTTAGGAAACATGACCCTCCTAATTAAGGAATTTATCTTGGTCTAAAATGAAAGAATTTGCATTTTCTTTAAAGACCACAGATGTTAACAAATTCTCTGGATACGGCACCAGTAAAAAAGCTGAAAGGCAAATTCTCTCCACTCCATTTGTTCTACACAAAGGATCCTTTTAAAACCAGCCTCACTCATTTTCTCTGTGGTGGGGAGCAGAGGATTTAAACTTGGACACTTACTTGCACAGATAATCCAGACTTACATTTACAAAATGTCCTTTTGACCAGTAGCAGCTGCTTCAAGCATTGCACTGAAACTGGATACTAGAAAAAGGAATTGCAGCAATTTAGAACAAACTGTACATTGCAAGCCCATCCAAGTCTTAATACAAACCTCATGGTTTATGAAGCTGTGTAAGTAAAAAAAACTTTTATTCTTTACCAGATTTTCTGTTTTCAGTAAGCATGATGCTAAATCATAGGACCATGAAAACTGACTTGTGAAGTGCGTAATACAAAACTGAGTTTTGTGATGGAGCGAGAAAGCAATTGTGTAAAGAAATTCTATTTGAAATTTTTAGAGAATTAAAAAAATTTTCTTATATAAACTTCTTTTCCATAATTATATTTAGTACTAGAAAAGACAAATATCTGGAGCATAATTTACCTATAAACTATACCCACATAATACTACTACAATGCCAACAACATGAAGCATCTTGATTGCCTAGAGAGATTTGCATGCAGTGATTCACTGTAACAATAATTAAGAATTAAGAATTAAGAATCTACAGTTAAGAATTTTTCATTATGATGATGATTTCACATGATAATATCATGTGTCTCTCATGTTCACTAATATTTATACATAACACTAAATGTTTCATTCAGAAATGTGTTCCGGCATTCTGTGTGTGTAAACACACTATACAGAATTTAGCAATGTTAGACGAGGATGGATGGCCATAATCACAGAAGACAGTGGTAGTTACCCCAGTAGAAGCTTAGTCTTTCCTTTTCTTCCTCTCCTCTTCTTAATAACTTGTCTGCTAAGCAGAAAGGAATGGATGTAAACAAAATAAAAGGCAAGAAGGCAGCACTGAGTCCTGAGAGAACATGTGCATCTCACATGGAGAATTCAGAACTGAATGCTTTAGATGGTTTGTTTGCAATGTTGCAGCTATTCCTTACTTTTTCGATCTCTTTGTTAATGAGGTTAGGTTGAAATTCAAAGGAAATAACAACTTACGCTCCCAAAAGGTAAAAGAAAGAAAGGCTTGCTGTCCCACTTAATTGCATCTCCATGTTTATGGCCCACATGAGCCTCTTACCATAAACAGATTTCATTACTGGAATCATATTTCCCGTGTGCATGTATGTCATGTAATAAATCTATTTATTGCTGAAATATTGATGAAGTGTTAAATGGCAGAGCCAGGTAAGTTACACAGAGCTGTATTGATCACTCTGTAAGATTGACCTGTATACATTTTAACACAAGAACAAAGAGTAGCTTGCACAATTTGAGACAGTATACTGGTGCATACTACTACTGCAAAAAGCTAGGAAGCTCTTGAAAGACAGCTAGATGAGCATAGCTGGAACATGGTTTTGAGCTCAAAAGGATTAATTCCATGTTTTAATACACGTGCCTTAATGTGTAATATGCAGAAGCTCTGGTGTTTGCCAGGACCTCACTATGTCAGATGCTGCTTTAAAGAAAAATAGTGTGCTTGCACAAAAGAGGTGACCTTTTAAGCACAGGAGAATAAATAGATACAAATGGGTGAAGACAGTGTAACAGTAAGACATCACTGAGAAGCATGAACAGTAATTGCAGAACATTGACTACCTCATTTTTGCCAAGCTTCTTTAGTAAGCTAAACATTAAGAGCAAATTAAGGCAAAAGATTATGCTGGAAATTTTTAAAGGTCAGAGTAACTAAACACTACCTATCTAGAAATACTTTTGATTCTTCATTGCTTTATATATATATACATATACATATATATATATATATATTTATACATACACATAGGGTTGTAGGATACCCTAGGTTGGAAGGGACCTCAGGCCGTCATCTAGTCCAACCTCCTGCTCAAAGCAGGGCCAGCTCTGAGATCAGACCAAGTTACTCAGTTTGTCAGGTTAGCCAAGTTTATCCAGACAGGCCATGACAACCTCCAGGGACGCGGAGTGCACTCCCTTGTTCTCTGGGCCCTTGTTCCTGTGCTTGACTGCCAGCGTGGTGAAAAGATTTTCCTTATATCCAGTCTGAACGTCTCACGTTTCAACTTAAGCTCCTTACCTCTTGTCCAAAAGGCATCACTGTGAAGACCCTGGCTCCACTGTTGTGACAACCTCCGTGTAGGTATTGCACAGCTGCTAGGGGAGTGCCCCCGAAGCCTTCTTTTCTGCAGGCTGAACAAGCGCCCATCCCTCAGCCTCTTCTCACAGGGCAAGTGCTCCAGCCCTCTGAGCATCTTGGCTCTCTGCTGAACTTGCTTCAGACAATTAATGTTTTTCTTGCACTGGTGGTCCCAAAACTGGACATAGTAGTCTCGATGTGGTCCAAACGAGTGCTGAGTAGAGGAACAATCAATTCCCTTGATCTCTGGCTGTGCTCATCTTAATACAGGCCTGTTGGCTGCCTTTGCTGCCTGGCACACTCCTGGCTCATATTCAGCTCCCTGTCTATCAGGACCTCCAGGGCCTTTTCTGCAGAGCTGCTCCACATACATAAATGTACACTGTCTTGTTTTAGATTTATGTTGAGTGACTTCCTATGCATACATCCTGATTCAGTTTAATATAGTATGAATGAGGAACATGTTATTCTAATATACTAAAAATATTGTTGAAAAAGCAGTAATTTGTGATCATAGAATCATAGAATGGTTTGGGTTGGAAGGGACCTTAAAGATCATTTAGTTCCAACCCCCCTGCCATGGGCAGGGATATCTTCCACTAGATCAGGTTGCTCAAAGCCCCGTCCAACCTGGCCTTGAACACTTCCAGGGAGGGGGCATCCACAACCTGTCCCAGTGTCTCACCACCTTCACAGTAAAGAATTTTTAATCTAAATCTATCCTCTTTCAGTTTAAAACCGTTATCCCTCGCCCTGTCAGTACACTCCCCTCTACTATTATGCTTATACTATGTACTCTGATTACCCTTCAATAGCAACTCAGTGGTGTCTCAGGTTTAGGACCAGCCCATCAGTAGCCATAGGAAGAACTGGCTTATCAAAATCAAATATGCATGTACAGGAGTCATTTTTTGTGTGTGTTGTCCCAGTTCATAGAATCATAGAATCATAGAATCATTAAGGTTGGAAGAGACCTCTAAGATCTTCGAGTCCAACCGTCAACACCAGCATGCCCACTAAACTTCAGAAGAGTGTTTAATCATATATTTGGTGTGGGACTACTAAAGTGCTTTTAGCTGAGCATATATCCTTGGGCTCATGTAGTTTGTTGATTTGATATCAAAGTAATTTGAAGAGCTGGGCACTTGCATGGAAATTACCGTTCACTATTGGGCTAGATTGATGCTTCTCCTGTTTATTCCCACTCACATGACACTAATTTTGTTTGCTAGATACGAGAATGTTAAAATACTGCGGGGACACCAAAGAGACTAATTAGCTTTAGGAGGCACCCAAATGGTATGCTTGATTTAGTTACAAAATGTAAGAAGTTTTCAAATTACTCAGTCTGGTTTCTTAGCATGGAACATACTGAAGTACTAATCCGCTGGAGACAAGGTTGAAGGGTCTCACCAATAAAGCTACTCGAAAAAATATATAAAATATGTGTTTTTAGGAAATCCCAGGTCTCCTAGGAAAATCAGCTAGGTTGGTTAACTAGGAAGCTTTTTCAGGGCAATGAAATCATGCACGGTACAAAAAACTGAGCTCTCTGAGAGTTATCTGCCCAGCTGTACTCAGCTGGGGTGGGGCCGCAAATGGGGATTTCCAAGGGTATGTTAAATCAGGCTGTAACTTGAAGTCTCAGCACTTAATATGCATGTTGCTGCGGGGCATAGCAAAGCCATAACTCCATGCAAGCATTTATAATTGAAATTGTATCATTCTTAGAAAACAAAATCATTTTATGAACACTATTTAAAGCAACATTATCTAATTATTCAAAAAATATGCATACTTGAATTTTCTTCCCAACTTCATTCATTCTTCTTTATAATACTATAATCATCCACCTTAAGAGTATAATTATATACACGCCAGTATATTTGCGGGTCACTAACAGATATGCTAACCCTCTTCCTCAAAATAAGGAAGCTGCCTTAGGCAACATAGCCTAAGTCTGGGAGCAAGTTCTCAGACAGACCTGTTAACTGTTCCAGATGTCAGGATGATTCAGATTTTAACGGTAAGCTGACATCAGTTTACAAGCTCAGTATATAATATTCCAAAAGAATAAGGACAAGACCATCTCTGTTAGACAAATAGAATTTCTGAATTCAAGGCATTATTTCAATGGCTGCTGCACATGGACATCTAGAAGAAATCCCAGGAATGGGCCTTCCAGAGTCCAATGAAGAGATACTTTCAGGACTACTGTACAAGACTGCTCAGTACAAAAAGCATCATTGCATTCCTATTGTAATTATGTGGAAGTATAATAATACAACTAACACACAGGTTATCTGATAGAGAAAAGGGCCACCTGTACAAGAGATGGCTAGTTCAAAAGGAGCACCAAAATAGCTAATCCACATGCTATCAGGCATCTGAGGCTGCAAACCCCAAAGCCAGGATTTTCCCCCCAGAAAACCCTATTGGTAAGTCAAAAACCTGAAACAGTGCTGTGGCACAAGATGTTAGCAAGAGAGAGTTCAGATTTTACTGGGTACTGAAATAACAAATGACTGAGTAAGTAAAACTCTCATACAGTTCTCTGACCGCACCACATGTTATACAGAGCTGTGGAGGTTCAGTGGACAAAAAATAATCCTTGTCAATCTGGCACAGGGATAAAATCTGACAACAGAGCTGGTAATAGATTTAATTCCAAGTACGTGAGCAGGTATGACAAGTAGGCAAGGGATAATTTTATGCCATTAGCACAGCACTATATTGTGCCCCGCATCCTCTCTCTAGTAGTCATGGCTAAATTCCAGTGCTTTGATGAAAAGTGCAAAAACAAAACAAAACAAAAACAGAGGACAAATTATGCACTGAAGGGGGAAAACTCTTTCTGACCTCCCATAGTGACCAAGGAGCCTTGAAATGTTGTATTAATACAGGATAAATAGATGTTTTTTAAAAAAGTAATATTGCTTTCTCTTTGTACATGCCATAAAATATGATACTTTGAATTCATATCAGAATTTGAGTTATAAATATTAGGAAATTCCCCTATAGAAGTATATAGTCCCTCCCATAAAACTTGCCAAACTCCATCCTAAAACAGTTTAGGTTCCCTTCCTCAAATATCCCGTTTAGAAAACTTCCAGAACTTCATTGTTTTGAAGATCAGACATAAATCACATTGTTTAATTTACATTGTTAGAATGTGCATGATCATAGCCAAAAAACCCCACAAAACCTCTGAATCCACTTAATTCCTTTTTTTTTTTTTAATTGTCTCTATCAGGAGAAATGAACCAGGTATTTATCTTGTCTATATTACTGCAGCTTACAGAAACCAACTACAGAGTATTGCAGGTATATTGCTAAGAAGATACAATGCTATTTCACCACCTGTCATTTATCCCTGGGCATGTTTGGAAAATATGACAAGCATCTAGCATAGAGTAACATTTCCCATACTGCGAAATCAAGACAAGAACATATAGAGAGCTGCTTAGTAAGCAGCTAGTGCATAAAGTGGTCTGTCTTGGGTGTTTCCAGGCACACCTTTAGAATGACACTTGTCTCTTATTCTTGCCAGTGCCGGGGAATCTAGGGTGTTACAAGGACCATGGAGAGCCACCACCTTTGACTGGCACCAGCGAGACCTCCAATAAACTTACTATCCAAACATGCATCAGTTCCTGCCGAAGTCAACAATTTAAGGTGATTTCTTTGATGTACATTTACAAAACGTTTTCAAAGACAAAAGATGGCAATATGCCTAGAGCTCTCTATTATATTTCTCCCCCCCCTGCATTTTTTTTTACCTGTAGGAGGTCTAAGGTCTCACTCCCACTCCAGGGGACCTAGCCCTCTCTCTGCATCCAGAGCAATCTGGGCAAACGACTGATTAATAATGCCAGGATGCCAGGAGAAAGTATGCTTGCTTACTGCAGTTATGAGTGATAGGGTGCCCTAATTGCCCTCCGTTCCATCTTTCTCGCTAGTCTTAAGTAGCATCCTGACAGCTCAAACAAAAACAGTTTGTGGTGGGGCCTCTGACCTCTGACTAATCATATTTCTCCAAAACACACATATTCTGCTGCCAGCTTTCTTGCTCATACAACCTCCTGCTGTCACTCCCTTAAATATTATCCCTCCCTTCCTTATGCATCTTTGTTGTCAAAGTTTGCAGGCATGGAATCAGGTTATGCTTGTTTCTGTGGAAATAATCCTGACTACTGGAGATATGGGGAGGCAGCCAGTACGGAATGCAACAGTGTTTGCTTTGGAGACCATACTCAGCCTTGCGGTGGGGATGGCAGAGTCATTCTTTTTGACAGTAAGTATTGAAACAGGCTCAGTTTTTCCCAAAGGAAAGGCCTCAAATGTTCAGCAAATTAGGGAAAAGGGTTTAAATGCAATGAGAACTGTTGCACACAAAACAGCAAAACACCTAAATTCAGTATAAAATAAAGCTGCTTTCCATTTCTGCATAAAATTCACATCCACTAATAATGTGAAATAGCTCTTCCAAGAAATGATGCCTGCTCAGGCAACTGACTCATGCTCCGGAGATTGTCTTACTTCCCCACAAATGGTACTAACTCAGCTATCACAAACAGCATGTCACGGAAGGACTCCTTCAGAATTGGTCTTACCACAGAGTAGATATATGAGTAAGTGAGGCACCTCAAATAAAATTTCAATCTACACCAACCTGGGTTTTTTATTAAAGCAGACGAGACTTGCTATAACCCAGTTAACACAACACAAAGCAGTGCAGTAGAATTGGGGCAGGGAAGGAGTGTACTGCAAAAGTACAAACAAGTTAGGTGGCTATTACGACCATTGCTGATTTCATAATTTCTTATACATAGAAATCCTCCTTTCTACTCTTCAGTATACATACCAGTGCCAGCTGTGTAACTTCACAGGTTGACGGTATGAGTACCCAGTTGTCTGGCAGTACAGGCTCCCAGCAGTACTGGAAAAGTTCACAGTATGCACCGAAACATCGTTGCCTCTCAGATCTCAGCTGCCTCTGATGTAGAAGCTGCCTTTTAAGTCGAGTTATAAACTTTCTGGAACTAAAAGCGGCATCATTTTCCACCTTCTGAATACACAACCAAACTTCCCATCTTACTCTAAAACTCTGGTTCCCAGCTAGCAAGACAGGAAGACATTTCAGTTGAGACAGGAATTAGTCACTCTGCTCACTTCCAAATTCTCCCCAAGATACAAAAAGAAGCACTGGAGTTGCATGTTGCTTTCAATGTTGAGATAGCATGTAGCTTCACACTGCAGCATCCTCTGTTTCCTTCTGCTCTTGGCCTCCCAAATCCTCGATGGGTAAAGACTTCCTTTGTAGCTTTCCTTTTCTGGAATGACCGAGGGCTCAGCAAGATGTTACCCTGAGGACCTGCACTGCCTTTTCTGGTAAACAGCAAGGGAGAGAGCTATGGCCAGGTAAGAGAAGTCATCCTAGTAACTGCCACCTATTTTCTTTTGCTGATGAGGAAAATTTGCTCACCTCATTCCTCTTTTCCAGATCATGTCATATCCCCAGAACCTTCACCCCGATCCCTGTACACACATGCACACGCACCACCCCCCCCCCATTAACCTTATGTGTTTATGTGCTACTATCATGGCCTACAGCTGTAACGTTCAGACCCACAACACAGAACTCTGCCAGCTCTAGAAGGAAATGAGAGAGGGACAGCATTTCCATTCCATATGGGGCAATGCTGTACTTTGTTGGGCATCTGTGGAGCACTAGTCATTGGCATTTTTAGTTAATATTGCTGGTTTGAAGAACATCTGGTGATTCAGTAATTACAAACAACACAGCCAAATGTAACAATACCCATAAGCCATTTGCAAAGAGGAAATTTGATATCTCAATGACAAATTTCAATTCTATCAATTCAATCTATTCTATTCAAACAATTCTATCTATTCGATTAAATCATCAGCTCTGTTAGCATGGAGTGAGTGCCGAACACAAATTCCTCTATCGGGGAGGGATACCTCTGTGGGGTCTTTCACATTCTTTCTATTCTTCTTCTTTCATATTCTTTCAGTTCCTCTATAAGGTCTTTCATAGTGCGGCACTGAAGTGAGAGGTTTGCTCAGGCCGTGATCAGGCCTTGCTCCAGAAAAAGAGATGATTTTTCTGGCAGAGATATGCTACTTCTTGTTCTCATTTCCCCAGCTCCTGTTTAATTTGTATTTATTAAAGCTCTTTCTCGGAGGCCTGTGAAAACTGAGACGCTTCAAAACACTTCCTTTATTTGCATTCTCACAGGCCTCTATTACAGGACTTTAATTAAGCTTTCAGAGAAAATAATTCTACTTTGATTCTTCAGTCCTTCAGCCTATGATATGGGGGAGTGATAACTGATCCAAACAGTTTTGTCATGAAATATATTATTATATAATATATATAAAATGTGTATTTAGGGGATATATAAAAATACACATATATGCATTTATACCTATATACAATAAATTTTAAAAATTATATATTCGTATATATAGATATGCATCAAGTCAGTTGGCTGGCATTTGAGTTTCTCTCTGGATTCATTGGTAAATAAGCTTGCGCTGGGAATCTGGATAGTTGTCAAGGAATATAAAGATTTACTGGTTGTGTGCTTGTTTTGAATGTAAAAGGTAGCAACAAATCTAAAACATTTTCTTTAGATTTCATAACAGGATCTTTTTCAAGTTATTTAGTGAAGGTAAGGTCAAACATTAATTGGACAAGATCAAAAGACGGGATGCTTAAAAAGCACGTATAAATGGCCACAAAGGTGATTAAGGGATTTCAGTATCATTCATACAAGGAGAGGCTGAGAGATCTTGGATTGTTTAGCCTTGAGAAAAGAAGGCTCAGGGAGGAATCTTTTCAATTTGTATAAATAACTGATGGGAGGGTATAAAGATGAAGCCAGACTCTCCTCAGTCTTATCTAGTCTTGTCTAAGAGGCAACAGGCACAAATTGAAATACAGGAAAATCCATTTAAACATAAGGAAAACCTTTTTTTACGGTGAGGGTGACACTGGAACAGGTTGCCCAGAGAGGTTGTGGAGTCTCCATCCTTGGAGACTCAAAACACAACTAGACAGTGTCTCCTGCTTTGAGCAGGGGATTGGACTAGACAATCTGCAGGGGTCCCCTCCAACCTCAGCTATCCTGTGAAGATTTGTTTTTTCAGTTTGATAAGGCTGTGAAGGAATTTCAATAATTCAACAGTGAGAGTTACAGTCACTAATCCACTTGCCTGCCTGCCTGATAGGGATGGAGTAGAAGTCCCAGAATCAGTGATTTAGCTTTCATCCTGTTCCTGCAGGGATGCGGGAAAGGGGTACATACAAGGACAAAGGATAGCTGCAGTGTTCAAGATTGGTACGTAGGTCTCAGAGTAATGAGACAGAATGAGTGTATCCCAAGCAAATGCAACATAATAGCTGTGCTCCCAGTGCTGTGGAAGGTAAAGAAGACCAATCTGAGAGACAGTGCATCCTGCTGGGGTAGCGAGTCTGTACCTTCAAGTCACATTTGAGTATTAGAATCTACAGAGTGCTAAAGCTGTGCATAATGAATGTATAACCTCTTTTTTTTTTTTTTTTCCATTTTTCTCCCTCTCCTCTTCTTTCACAGCCCTTATTGGTGCCTGTGGAGGGAATTACACTTCTGCTACAGCTGTGATCTACTCCCCAGATTTTCCCGACACATACGGCACAGGCAAAGTCTGTTACTGGACCATACAAGTTCCAGGAGCATCTCGAATCCACTTCAGCTTTGCCCTTTTTGAAATCAAAGATGCTACAGATATGGTGGAATTGCTGGATGGCTATACCTATCATGTTCTAGCTCGTTTTAATGGCAAGAACCGGCCTCCCCACACCTTTAACATCTCTTTGGATTTTGTCATTTTGTACTTTTTCTCAGATGAAATCAATCAAGCCCAGGGATTTGCTATCAGATATAGAGGTAAGAGGCTAACTTCGCTGTTTCTACCTTTCAGTGAGCCGTTAAAGCATTTAATTCACACAGGAGGTTTCTGAAGTGGCAAAAAAAGAGCAAATATTTTAACTCTCATGTCTACAGGTGTTTCATCTATCTTGTTGCCACTGCTCAGTGGGTAAAAGCTTTGCTAAAATTTCTCTCAATTTGGAACAGTCTAGTCAGCTATGTCATAAATAGCAAAATTTAAATTTTCAACGTTTCAATCCTGTACATACCTGCCTTTCAAAACAGATTGGAAAATGACAAAGCTGAAACAAAACAAAAAAACCCAGTAGTCCATCTGCATCTTGGTTCATCTTGGCTCTTTCCAACAGTCTATTCCACTCAGATCGAAAGTCATCAGGAGAAAACGTTTTAGTCCGTGAGTTGTACCTACTGTTATGATGAACAATTAGCTTCCAGAAAAATTCCGAGAACCCCAACTTGGTGAAGTACAGGCTTTTTCTGGTATCAGACATAATTTGATTATTGGAGTTCTCTAAGTAAACCAGAGAGCAGCACATGTCTGTTTACGAGCACAAAATAAAGTCCAATTACACCTGTTAAGAAATTGTTATTGTAATCATACTCTTGTGTTTTCAGCTGTGAAGGACAATGTGCATCAAAACAAGATTCCAATGAATCAGACCCTTTCAGAGAAGATAAACGAACAAGCAAATCTCAGCATCAATGCAGCCCGGTCATCAAAGATACTTTATGTCATCACAACCAGCCCAAGTCATCCTAGTAGTTCCATGCCTGGTAATATTACAAGAAAATGTGGAAACAGGAAAAACATTTTGCCAAGGCACAATCTAGAGTCACTATTTCCTTTCCCTCCGCCTCCACATTATCTGATCCGCTGTGCTTCTTACTAAAATAGATGAATTTTCATTTAGTCTAATTACCACTAACTGTGCTGCGCTCTACTTTTCAAAACTCACTTCTCAGCATAAATCAGTTAGAAATAGTGTGAAGATGGTGAGTCCCTGAGAATGAAAGCACATCGGAATAAGATGTGAGTCAGAGCAGCCTCCTTACTAGAATCAGCTTCAGTGACCAGTGCATACCATAGAGGTGGCAAAAGGTGCTGAAAAAAGAGCAAGCTTTTGTAGTCTGGAAGGGCCTGAATGCTGGATGCATCCCAGTTATCCCAGTTCACAAAAGCCACAGCAGTAATACAAAGAGGGCTAGACAAGGATGAAGCAAGTTAATGGGTGCAGGGGAGATGCCACTGAGAACCCTCATGTGTCTAGAACTCCCCTTCAAGACATCACTTCATTCAGGAAATTGTTGAGTTGTAAATAATTGAAGACTGGAAATGCACTCTTGGTGAATATCACTATTGGTCTCTCCTATCTTTAAACTTCCCTGGGCATCTGCTTTTACATGTTGTTGAAGCTGGGCCTCGATCACACTATGGACGCTCTAATAGTTCTGTAGTCCTGAAGCTGTCTGCATTCCAAACCTGAAGCGTGAGGCCATGACTGCACGAGCTGCATATACCCAAACTAGCCAGGCTGCAGAACATGCCTGGGCTTCTGGGCAGATATTCTGGCACCAGGCCCAGGCTGGTGCCTGAGTTACTATGGCTACATTTTACCTGCCTAGTGTTAAACTAGCTTGGGCATACCGACCTAAGATGAAACTGCACCCTTGGATTTTACGCAGTTATGAAAATACTGTTAAAATCATCGTGAACAGTCAATGCTTTGAGGACGGGACATTGGGTGGGAGGGAACTGACGCTTCCTTTTTTTGCTGCTTTGAGCTTCAGGACTTCTGAAGGTGACGGCCTTTATTCAGTTATTCTAATAATTCAAGGTCCTTGCAAGGCTGTTCAGTGTGCTAAATATGTCAGAGTTACATTCTAGTGCCATCCCTTCTCCCATCTCGACATGCTGTAGTCTCACACTGCAAGATTATGGAAATCCAAATGAAAAGGTGATCTAATAATTTAGAAATCGGCTCCCCTCGAGCCCCAATCTCTTAAGTAGTTCGAATGTTACAATGTCTCAAGCTGTTCTTTAAGTCCTGCTTGACTTGCTGGTACAACCAGAACTAAATTGAAATGTAAAATACAGTGACCAAGAGCCTTCAGTGTAAGGTAATAAAATAGCAGACCACAAATACTGATCAACTGTCTCTACACCCTAGGAAGGAAAAAACCCCCATACTTAGTGATTACTTACATAATTACTGATATAAAACTAGGCCATCTCCTTGCAAACATAGAGTTACTACTGGTAGCATATGTTCTAGTATGTTGTTTAGTCTGCTTTTAAATTTTCCTCTGAGTGAGTTTTGATTCCTTTCCTAGATACTAGTTAGATAATTTTATCGGTATATGCTTTGGATTTTCCCAACTTTCAATTTTATAGGGAGCAGTCCTGAATGGGGAAAAACAGTTCCGACTGAGAGTTACACAGTTTCTGCCAGTCATTGCAGAAAATACTTAAAGGTTTAAGGCATCTTCAAATTACAGTTTTGAATAAAGCATCAGAAGGCTGTTTCCTTTGTGCAATATTCTTACTTTAAAAATTTTAAGTAAATGAATGTACTGAGACCCTCTCCTCTCCTCTCCTCTCCTCTCCTCTCCTCTCCTCCTCTCCTCTCCTCTCCTCTCCTCTCCTCTCCTCTCCTCTCCTCTCCTCTCCTCTCCTCTCCTCTCCTCTCCTCTCCTCTCCTCTCCTCTCCCTCTCCCTCTCCCTCTCCCTCTCCCTCTCCTCTTCTCTTTTACAGAGTGGACAATATATAGTCTCACAGCGCTGCTCATCCTAAGTGTTACAGCCATAATAGCAAAGATATTTCTCCACATAACCATGAGGTGAGTATGGAGCAAAACTGTCCCTGGAGAACTGACGTCTCAGCTCTGTACCAAACCTGGTACACTTCATTTCTCTGCCTTCTGATACTGTCAGATTGGTCATATTCAAAACCAAGTTATATATTACATATTTGTATCCTCATAAAAGATACTAAATAAGCACATTTTTTAACTTTCCAGTCTGTTCGGATAGCATTTGCTGCTAGAATATCCCTTTTGGTCTTGTTTTGACAAGATTTGTATTTTAAGGAATAAAAAGGATTCTCGTACTGAGTGATGTTACATAGCAAAGAGGAAAACGTAATCAGACATCTAGCATTGGTGGGAAGAGGTCAAATTATGATAATACTTTGCAGGAAAAAAATTAAAACCTCATCCCAGATGGGGGAACTGGGAAAAAAATCTAGATATAGACTAGTTAATACTTTTACTTTCTTTTACTGAAATATTGAAAATGGTTCAAAAAAGAATCACAAAAATGAAAATCTGTATTTTTGTGTGACACTTAACCGGTATAATTTTTTTTTGCCTATTAAAACGAGCATAATTTTATTACTATATTTCTCTACACTTATACCAAGTAATTTTTGTGTCCTGTAGATGGACACTCATTGAATGACATGATGGGTGAGTTATCAACAAATCATAAATGTTGAATATTGTATTTATGTACCACGAACAGGCTTAAGTATACAAGGAAATTAATTTAATAGCAATTAGTAATAGAATATGTACAGACTTCTTAGCTTAACGTCACCGCTTTCATTAGGGGGGCAACTGTTCTAGCAACAGAATGCCTAACTTTTCATTTGGTCACGAAACAACCAACAAACCCTCCAAAACCCTACATAACTGTGCAGCAGGGAGAAAGAAAAGGTGTCACAGAGGCAGTGGAAGCCGCTAGCATTACCAGGGTAGCAGTAATGCAGACATGCTAACAACAGCAGCTTCCCAAGCACCTTAACGCTTACAGTGAATTAACGCTTGTTTCCTAGGTCCCATCAGATACCATCTGCAACTGAAACAGAAGATTCCAGTGAGGTTACTACTGCTGGCGAGATCTGGAGTATATTTTACCAGCCATCCACATCGATATCCATCTTCAAGAAAAAGCTTCGAAGTCAACAAGATGATTGCAACCCACTAGTGGGAAACTGAAGTGTCATCTATTTTACAAGAATCAATCTTCTTAAAATCCAGGTGACTTGGGAATAATCCTTTTTTTTCCTCCCAATCTCATACTTGTTTTCCAAAAAGTCCATTTCAAAGGCCTTTGAGTGACTTTGCCGATCTGCTGTTCTCTTGGGTATACTAATGACAACAGATTTAATTGCGGCAATAGTTTTGAAATATTTGGTGCTCATCAAATCTGTAGTGCTGTTAATTACTGCCTTTAAACCAACGCACTTAAAATACACGTAAAAACCTGTAAAATTCAAAATGTCCTGTACCCCTGCCAAAAGTAATTGAATGAGTATCTGCAGGTTGAGGACTTCTTGTGTCCTACTCTCCTGTACCACTGTATTATATCAGGCTACTGTAGTTCCTTTATTCTCAAGGCTGAAGACAGAGGTAGATACCGATAACCTGTTCAGCTGCCACAGCAACCAGAGCTTATTGGCCTTAATGTAAACATGTCTAAATGGTACTACACAGTGAAATGGGAGTCAAAGACTTTGAGAAACTATCAGCCTGGTTGCCCAGTGCTCTGCTGTTTCTACATTTTCTGCTTCTACAAGCAGAGATGAACAAATAAAAATCAAATCAAATTCAGGAGGCAAACACTCTATGGAGTTTCAGCTGCAAATGTGAGTTTCGATGGAGTAATGCTCACCAGGTCAAGGTCCGCACGAGCAATGAGGACTTTTAAACAACTATGTCTGACCCATCATTCACCGATGACTATGATAATTTTGTTTATATTCACAGCGATCCCTTAAAAAACTATTGTACTCCAGTCTGAAGTCCTGCATTCATTCTGGATGTAAACTTAGGGCTTCTTAAAGGATTGTCCAAAGACATTGTAAATCCACTGAATGTTTAAACAGTGAGGCTGACTAACACAAATTCTTACTCTGAAGTTCAAGATACTGATCTCAGCAGCCTAAACGATTTACAAAGTTGTAGCCTGCTATCAACAACTCACCTATGCCAGGCTGTGCATCTGAACACATCGTAACAGTTGCCTTGATACTTACCTGTGAGAAGAAGTGTCTCCTTGCCTGCAAAATTAAAACTGAACTGCATTTTTAAGATTAATGTCCTTAAACGTCAAAGAACTAAAACATCAGTGGGGATCTGATCTACGAAATAATTTCTGTTTGATTGCAATAGACAGCATTAACTATTTTTTCTCTTTGGTAGAGTATCTGTCCACCCACAGTGCTCAGACTTCTCATCCCACCACTGGGGATCAACAGTGAGTCTTTCAGCCTCAGCAAGTCCAGACCTTCAAGATATTTAGGAAAAACTGACAATACGGAAGTCAGATAAATTGACTGGAAAAGTTTACTGAGTGAGAAGCTCCTCAAACTAAGTTAGAGGAAATTCAGTGACAGCCATTAAAGTACAGTAATTCTGGTTAAGGCAAAAGGAATAAATACCAGTTTAAACATATAGCAATGGTCTGTGGATACCAGACCTGCAGTCAGAGAACAACCATTAAATGCATCCGCGAAAGATAACTAAGAAAAGTAAGAAAATTGTCAGAGTTTAAATTCATTATAGTATCTGCCCTTCTGTTTTTAACAGATAACTCCCTCCCCTTTATGAGGTCTATAGATTTCCTTGAAAAAATAGGGTATCTAAGAATTAAACAATGAAATACTGTGCCTTACTTGCCGTTGTAGATCTAGTCTTTTACCTGAATTGAACTCATTCCAGCTCCCTTCATGTACCACAGATGAGTGCCAGAGACGGCTGAACAATGCCACAATAAACGCTTAATAGAAACAAGACTTTACTAAGCCAGCAATTATGGAATTGTTTATATAAAAAATGGAATATCATGGGAACATCTAGTACTTTCTTGCATGAGCTGCTGGAAAGAATACAGGAAAAGATAATTACAGTATCGCCTAAAATCAAGACAGGACGAGTTGTAAAATACACTGGTTCTCTCTTACGTGTCATCAGGTTGGACCAAAAAAAATTATCAGTTTCAGACCCAACAAAAATTTTTAAATTGCCTTTTTAACA